ATACAGAAGCTGATATCTATCTAGGTTGTTTAGGTTTTATATACTTAGTATACAGAAGCTGATATCTATCTAGGTTGTTTAGGTTTTATATACTTAGTATACAGAAGCTGATATCTTTATCTGAGTTCTGTACGTTATATATACTTAATATACAGAAGCTGATATCTTTATCTGGGTTCTGTACGTTATATATAATTAATATACAGAAGCTGATTATTAAATTTACCGCTTTCTCACTGAGGGACTATTGGATAACAATTTTTATTCCATTCCTGAAGAACAATAATGAATAATCTTTCCTATCTGTTAACATGGAGACCGATTTTCACAATATTTTTGCTCTATAACTCAGTCAAAAATGATCGGACATTAATGAAACGTGGTGGACATTATCCCTCGTGTCCTCCCAAAAATGGTCGTATTACATTGATAACAACGGACATACGGACACATTTTCTTCTTTTTTGAGGGCCGAAGATGATGAACTCTGCGTGGCGGAGGTATGTGCTCTACTGAGTGTCCCTCTGGTTGATACTTGACTCACTTCAAGCCCACTGGTATGTGCTCTACTGAGTGTCCCTCTGGTTGATACTTGACTCACTTCAAGCCCACTGGTATGTGCTCTACTGAGTGTCCCTCTGGTTGATACTTGATTCACTTCAAGCCCACTGGTATGTGCTCTACTGAGTGTCCCTCTGGTTGATACTTGACTCACTTCAAGCCCATTGATATGTGCTTTACTGGGTGTCCCTCTGGTTGATACTTGATTCACTTCAAGCTCATTCAATAAAATATTAAAAATCACGCATGCTGGAAGCCGCCATGTGGAAACTTTATGAAGACATAAGTCTAACACATGACGGAATAGTAATTTAAGAAAGCTGCTGTGGTACTCGTTCTACGCCCCTAGCCTGAGGGAAGCTGCTGTGGTACTCGTTCTACACCCCTAGCCTGAGGGAAGCTGCTATGGTACTCGTTCTACACCTCTACCCGGGGGGAAAGCTGCTGTGGTACTCGTTCTATACCTCTAGCCTGAGGGAAGCTGCTGTGGTATTCTTTCTACACCCCTAGCCTGAGGAAAGCTGCTATGTTACTCGTTCTACACCTCTACTCGGGGGAAAGCTGTTGTGGTACTCGTTCTACACCCCTAGCCTGAGAGAAGCTGCTGTGGTACTCGTTCTACACCCCTAGCCTGAGGGAAGCTGCAATGGTACTCGTTCTGCACCTCTAGCCTGAGGGAAGCTGCTGTGGTACTCGTTCTGGACCTCTACCCGAGAGAAAGCTGCTGTGGTACTCGTTCTACACCTCTAGCCTGAGGGAAGCTGCTGTGGTACTTGTTCTGCACGTCTAGTCTGAGGGAAGCTGCTGTGGTACTCGTTCTATACCTCTAGCCTGAAGGAAGCTTCTGTGGTACTCGTTCTATACCTCTAGCTTGAGGGAAGCTGCTGTGATACTCGTTCTGTACCTCTAGCCTGAGGAAGCTGCTGTGGTACTTGTTCTACACCCCTAGCCTGAGGGAAGCTGCTGTGGTACTCGTTCTATACCTCTAGCCTGAGGGAAGCTGCTGTGGTACTGTTCTAACCCCTAGCCTGAGGGAAGCTGCTGTGGTTCTCGTTCTACACCCCTAGCCTGAGGGAAGCTGCTGTGGTACTCGTTCTACAGTTCTATTTTTTGGGAATGATGCTTCATTACGCAATAATTATAATGTGCAGTTCATAAGCTTCTTTTTTTGTAATGAAGATTTGAGTCGTTATTATTAATGTTTCTACGTCTTTAGATTTCTGATAACTGATGTCTACGTCCATAAATCCCTGTTATTGTCACCGACGTATACGTCTTCGAGTTTCTTTTAATGTTACTGGTTTCAGTGTTTTTAGGTTTCCGTAGTTATGTCTGATTTCTACGTCTATAGATCCCTATTATTGTGCCTCCCAGTGGCACAGCGGTATGTCTGCGGATTTATAACACTATAAACTGGGTTTCGATACCCGTGGTGGGCAGAGAACAGATAGCCTATTATGTAGCTTTGTGCTTAACTTCAAGCAAACAAACAAACAAACCCTGTTATTGTAACCTGTTCATACGTCTTCGAGTTTCTGTTAATGTTACTGGTTTCAAGGTCTTTTGGTTTCCGTTATATTTTAATAATATAGATTAATATTGAAGATATTTAGGTTTTATTAGTATAGGTATAGCAAAGCCTAGGCTACTACATTAGGCTTAAAACTAATTCTAGATCGTAGGCTTAACTTGCTATTGTTCGAGGTAATAGCATTAAGTTATGAATTATCAAGTTATTAATTACTAGATGAAAAGAAATATTCATCATAAGTGTTAGCTAACTAAGAAAAATAATTTATTGTGGGGTTACTGTTGTTTATTTTTCTATTATTTGATAGCTTTTAGAAACTTAATACATCAAAAAATTATTTAAATTATCGATTCGTTACATGTATCTAAGAGACGTGCTGTACTATTAAGTACTATTTAATAAGTTTGTTTTAGAGCAAAGCTCCATTGAGTTGTCTACTGTGTTCATCCTGGGAAATCGAGCTCCGGATTTTTTACATCTGTCTCACTGTGGGACTAGTTATTAGATACTTTATTGTTAGATTATTCTTTAACTGTGAAACAGTCAATGTTAGTTAAATATATAATTATTAGGTGGGAAGATTCGAAATAGAGAATAAATACTAGTTAATTTCAATATGGGTAGAAGTAGAATTTATAGGGTTCGATGGATTCTAGGATTGCTTTATGGTTGAAAATTGTGAGCTAGATTGAGTCTTTCAGGAGGCTCGGAAAGATATTAGAGACTCAACCAAGGGCTTGCTTAATTAAGGATAAGTTTGAGGAGGAGAAATTGTTATTGAAGTGTTCAAAATAATTAATGTTGAACAGAAATTAATGAATCATGAAAGAAATTGTATGGAGTTGAAGTAGAAGTTACTTTGAGCAGTGGGGGGGGGGGCTAAGAATATAAGTGCTGGCTTTAAATTGTATGGAGTTGAAGTAGAAGTTACTTTGAGCATGGGGGGGGGGGGGCTAAGAATATAAGTGCTGGCTTTATAAAGGTGCACACAAGTAAAAAAGTTAAAGCTATACGGCAGGTTCAGTTAGCATAAAGCCTAGGTCTAGACTTTTTCGCCAGGTGCTAAGGTATAAGACATTATAGATTGTGTTGATAGTTTAGTCGCTGGTACCAAGAATAAGTCCCACTTTTAATGCATGTAGGAGTGGATGATGTTCGGAGAACAAGTGCTCCTCCAGATGTTAGCAACAGAAAGAAAGATAGTTGTAACTAAACTGTCATAGTGGTAATAAATAGTAATGCCATTAATAAGGCAGGGGCTCATTTGCAAATTGGGGTATTTTCAAGCATCATAAGGCAAGCCTTTTATTATGTAGAGGGGAGGTAGAAAAAACTATGGGACTATGGGTTGCCTTTCGTCCACATAGGATAAAAATCCATAAGAAGCAAACAGATCCTTTTTATTCCTATTTAACCAGTGTCATAGAAAACTTTAGTATCTAAACTAGACAATGTATTTTTATTCATTAATAACATATTACAATGAAGTTTTATGTATTAATAACATTTTTTTTTGCTGTGAAATCCTACATTACCCATTTATTTTAAAGCTGAAATCCTACATGACCCAGTTATTTTAAAGCTGAAATCCTACATTTATTTTAAAGCTGAAATCTTTTCTTTTTCACAATAACTCGCAGCAAGCAAGGTGCATCTTTTCATAGTTCTTGAAAACTTTTATAACAGAAGGGCAAGAGCTTAAGCCCACCCAACTACCAAATTGATAGGGTAGTTAGGGTAACGAGGAGTTTGGAAAAATGAGGTTCAGAGCGTAAGAAGTAAAATAATAGTTTTAAAAATTGAAGAATAAACATAGTCTCTATTATTCTAATGTTAGTATCAGGACTCTAGTTGACTGTGATATTACAGAAACATGGAGACTATAGGTAATAGGAACTATTTTGCAATTCCAGGTCATGTGTTATTTAATATTAGTATTCAAAAGCAGGATCAACAAAAAAAAAAGGTACCATTAAAAAAGAAGCCCACTAACCTCTAGCACTTTCTGAAAGTGGACTTTATTTCATCGTGGTAAATGGCAAGAAAGAAATTTCACTTTCTGATAGTGCTCTGATGTTATTTAATAGTGATTACTTTTTAGAAGAGAGGGTGGGGCTCCATATATAAAAGATCAAAACATAAGTGGTGTCAGACAAGAAGTTAAATCTGTATGGGTTACAGGCAAGGGTTTTATAAGTAAAAATGTTCAAATAACAGTTGTTAATTGAACAGGAGGTCAAAGTGTGCCACAAAGTTCGAGTATCCTTTGAGGCCGGAAGGGCATGTGAGCTATGACGTCATAGATTCCCCAAGTGACGCGAGAGGATGTTTAGTTCCATAGATGCTCACCAGAGGTGGATAATTCTATAGAATATCGCCAACAAACTGTAATCGACTGTTGCTGACGTACGATTGAATCAGAAACTCGTCTGGTCCTCGATTGGAAAGTCACGATATTATTTCTGCACCACCGTTAAGATAAACTTTCTATTTCCACTAAAATATAATTTATTCAATAATAAACAAATCGTTTAAATACGTAAAGTTAATATTTTATGTTTCATTTATTACAGTACTGTACTATGAAAACACTGTCACGTGACTTGTGACTTTAGAATTAGCGTCCATATTCAAGGAAACACCAGTTAAATGTTTATTATAAACCACTTACACTAATACTGTACTATGAAAACATGTAAATCTGTTTTTGTTTTACATCATGTTTTATAGTTGACGATTCATGATGAATATTGATCTAGTGAAGAAGATGATTCTGTTTAATCATTTGTTTATAATTAAAAGTAATTTTCAGAACTATTAAACTAGACTAAGAGAATGTTCACTTCTTTACACCATCATTTCATCTAACATTGTAATATTACAGCAGCGTTATGTAATAGTCATTTGACAAAACTTACCCAAAAGATGGTTGACGTAAAATTAGTCATCAGTCCAAACAACGCTTGTACTTGGTTCACTGATAAACGTGATACATGAAATAACTACACATTGTTACACAAATGAAGATCATTTTGTGACTACAAGGATGAATCATCACATTTCTGTTCTAGCAATAGAATGATTGGGTGATAGTCAGAAGTTGAGTTCTGATTCGCTTATATTCAGAGATTTACAAAACCTAAATTAGACTCAAAGAAATACTTGGTGAGCACAAAGAGGTCTTTTTTTCACATATTTAACTAGTTACAATGTAATTAAGATGTCCTGGAAGGTTTAACATTGACAAGTAATAATGATGATTATATCAACATTTATACAAAGACAAGCACCGATTCTGTGTTGGTTGTATAACGTAGTCATATTATCAGCCTTTTGGAGCAAAAATACGTAAAACATTAGGCAACATCTGAAAACACTTAAACCTTTATAAAAGAAGGTTGTCTTGAGTTATGAAATGTTCGAACATAAAAGATAGCAACAGATAGAAAACAACACTGTCGTCCGATGAAGTCACATGTCACGTGAAACCCCCGCCTCAAAGTACACTCCCTCTATGGACAGCACTTTGACCCCATGAGGTGGTTCTTTTACCCTCCAGTTGGGCCGATTATCTACTCACGTGAATAAACTGAAGACGAAAATGAGAAATTCTAAAATAAGAACAGGGTTTCTATTAATAAGAACACTGATCCAATAATTACAAGAAACTTTAACTATGGACATTGACTGGGACTCTTTCAAATAAAATAGTGAAAGAGAGATGTTTTTGAATCACGATGGTTTTCTGTACCAAATGGTCAGATGGTCAAACCGGAGGGGGGAAAGGTGCCATTTTAGGTTTATTGGAGACCAATAATTTGATCAAATTAACAGCTGAAGTTTAATCACACAAAAAGTAAAAAGGCACCCCACAAAAGTACTTAGTTTTTCTTACTGTGTTCCCCCAAACAAATTACTGCATGATGTCACTAGCTGGGTTTTTAAATGATCTCTTCTGTTTTTAAAGACAAATATATTATCAATATTCCTGGCCCTGAGCACACTACGAGAAATACTGGAATTAACACGAATCATGTATACGTTAATCTCTTGGTGGTAAGAACGAATATTAAAAAATTAAAAGCACTAGGATCAAACAAGGTCTTCCCCCAAGGGTTTTAAAATTTCAACACTATAGGAAAACTTTTTCTTACTTTTTGTTTGTTTCTTCTTAAGGACAAAGTTATATAACGGTTCTTTTTTGCTCTTCCCATCGCTGATATTAAATGTTGTTCTCGTTTACTTGTGATATCATTCATATAGTTTTATATATAAATCATGTGATAACAAAAGTATCCACTTTACTTTGTGAATATAACGACAAATTTATAACCTATCGTTTTATGTTTAGAGGTTTTTATTATTATTCAAAGTTAAAAATATCAGGATTTGTTTAATTAGTTTCGGAGTTTTCTTAAACTGATTTCATCCATACTATATTTAACTGTAGAAAATTGAAAGTTTTGAAACAACAAAACTTTACTGATTTTCAGCCAGCGCTGATACATTGCATCTTTCGGCTACGTACTAAACCAACAAACAAGAAGAAAATACGTTTTATTGAGGACCCCCACTAAGCATACTGATCTCTCAAGAACAGACAGCTATTTACTAACCCAACGAACAAAAACGAAAATACGTTCGGTTGAGGACCTCACTGAACATACTGATCTCTTAAGGATGACTACATACTAACCCAACGAACAAGGATGAATAGATCAATTCAAAAGAACGAATAAAACAAGCGTCTGGACAGAAAAAATGCTGTTTACAATTTTTGTGTTGACAGACGAATGTTACAAGGATCAACTTTAAACAAAGCTCCAAGTTTCCAGCTGTATCAGCCTCATCTTGATGGTAGAACCTGCGTACTTTGTCAATTTCTACAGATTGTAATGTAGAAGAAAAAGTGCGATTCCGTACTATCCTTGCATTCAGACACCCACAATTTGTATCTAAATCCCTCATCCACACTGTGATGATGTGTGCTTTTGAATGACGATACTTCTCATATTTGTTTTGTTAACTTTGAACAATAAATCTCTAAAATCAAAGGCTTGAGTCCTTGTGTTTTACTCTAACATCACATCACTCCATGAAAGATATTGACGAGAAAATCAAGTAGTTTAACAAACTTCTTCCTCTATGAACTGTTTGTTGTTGTTGTTCAAAGCTGCAAAATAAGCTATTTGCACTCTGTACAACGCGACAAATCGAACCTCAGATTTTAGCGCTGTAACTGTTTAAACTATCCACTGGGAGGCGTAACTCAACAGAAGTTCGTGGGTATTTTTAAAATATTAATACTAGAAATTCAGCAAACCTAGAGTTTCTTTATGTCAACATCACAATACACAAAATATCAGATCGCCGAATATTTTAAAAAAGATTTGAGTAGTTTATTTATATCACATAGCGTGATTCATAAACCATTTTTATAGTTAGAGTCATTTAAACGAATCAGTCAATAATACAAGATTAAAGTCCTCTAGTTAAAAGTCAATCAACAGAATTAGTCAATAACACTGGATCAAACTCCTCTAGTTAAGAGTCAATCAACAGAATTAGTCAGTATTACTAGATCAAAGTCCTCTAGTTAAGAGTCCGTCAATATAATAAGTCAATAATAATAAATCAAATTCTTCTAGTTAAGAGTCAATCAACAGAATTAGTCAGTATTACTAGATCAAAGTCCTCTAGTTAAGAGTCCGTCAATATAATAAGTCAATAATAATAAATCAAACTCCTCTAGTTAAGAGTCAATCAACAGAATTAGTCAGTATTACTAGATCAAAGTCCTCTAGTTAAGAGTCCGTCAATATAATAAGTCAATAATAATAAATCAAATTCTTCTAGTTAAGAGTCAATCAACAAAATTAGTCAGTATTACTAGATCAAAGTCCTCTAGTTAAGAGTCCGTCAATATAATAAGTCAATAATAATAATAAATCAAATTCTTCTAGTTAAGAGTCAGTCAACAGAATTAGTCAATAATACTGAGTCAAACTTCTATAGTTAAGAGTCGCTCAACAGAATTAGTCAATAATACTGAATCAAAGTTCTCTAGGTAAGATTTAAATGTAAGGATTACAAATAACCGCTCTACTTCTACAGACACTCAAGCTAAGAAATCTATGATCTTAATGTTAGAATTATTGAAAACCCCATCTATATAACAGGGAAAATATAAAAGAGAGAAAATCTCTGTTATATAGACATAAATCAAATAGGGAAGACATAACAAATAATAGAGAGAGAAGAAAAATGGGGAAAACATTTAAGAAATGGTATAGACAAAAGAGAAAGTATCTAAGAAATACTACAAACAGAAAACAAGTATGGAAAACATAAGAAATAATATTGTCGGATATACAAGACTGTTTAATGTAAGTTACTGTTTCGTTCATTTAGTGACCTAATATTTAACGATTATTTAATTTTCATAACAAGAGTGTTTAAAAATTAATTATTTTAAAGGCGATAGTTATGACACATTCCGTTACGTTACTTGGTAAAAGGTGTACGTTGTGTGTGTAGTGCAACTGTTGTAATATTGTTGACTTCATCTTTCTCGAAACCTCTAAGTTTTTCTCGCTGAGTATTGTCACATCATAGTGTCTCGTAGTTTGTACAAAATGTGGGTCAAGTGAACTTCAGTCGAGAAAAAAAGTTAGTTAAAGAAAATGTGAAGTTAGACAGCGCGTGAGCGATTAGCATTAACGCGTGCTTTCTATAGCGTGTTTCACACCTGTATTGTAACAGAGATAGGAAAAATAATTTGTCTTATAAAATGTGTGGACTTTTGACAAAATAAGTGAGGTTAAGTCAGAAAATTAAGTTAGTTAAAGTGAAGTTAGATTGTGTGATTGTTAGTTTAGGTGTAACTGGAGATATTTTAAAGTGAATTTCATAGTTTAACAGAAATAAGGGGAATAATTTATCTTATCAATGGATTCTGAAGTAATTGAATCAGCCTGTGTGGACTTTTGACAAAAAGAGAGACAATTATTTAAAGCTCTGGATACAACTGTGATTTCCTATAGTATAAAAAAAATTGTACATACGTTTGACTTGAGGTGAATACATTATTTTGATATAAGTAGATTGTGTACTGTACGTTTATTGATCAAATTTATCGCTAACAAGTCACAGACACCTACTATGAAAAATCTAAGCTCATATACATAAACTTCTGAGAAATAATATAGATAGAATAGAAATAAGGAAAGCATCTAAAATATAATATAGAGAGAAACCTTCAAGAAGCCCACGTGGCACAGCGGTATGTCTGCGGACTTCCAACGCTAGAAACCGGGTTTCGATACCCATGGTGGGCAGAGCACAGATAGCTCATTGTGTAGCTTTTTGCTTAATTCCAAACAAACAAACAAACCTTTCAGAATTAACATTGACAGAAAACAAAGAGAAAAACCATGCAAGAAATAATATCTCTGGAACAAAAGATATCGTGCAAATATTCAAGTTTTTTAAGGGTTTCATTACGTCTGAAATACAAACAAAACTACGACCACTGATCGTATAAGGTTCTTATCAAATATAGAGCGTTAAGTACCTTATATTAAAACAATTTTTGATATACAAATCAGCATGTCCAAGCAATAGCTCACAACATAATCAAGAAGTACCTCCACATGGTACGTGATGCTACTGAAAATTGATCGCTTTTGGGAAGATTATTTAATTATTAGTAAAATGCAAAATATTCATACGCTCATATCATAAAGATATATTCATAACAGGGATTTATAATTTCAGACACGGAATATTCTTTATGTTTAATGGACTTTGAAACAAAGGGACATAGATCAACTTGGAGACCAGAACCATCCAGAAAAAGACCTGCAACAAGTCGTACCCTCAGCTGTAGTAAGCAAAGTGCGGCGTCTTGCATTAAGTGAGAATCCACGAACAGAAAGGTCAGTAATAAAACCCGTCGACCTGCTCCAGGCAACAGCTCACAACATAATCAAGAAAAACCTCCACATGGAAATGTGACATAACTCGCATGTACACAAGTTGTTTCCACTAAATATCCATTCAAACGTTATATATCTCAAACAGCTGGTGAATGAAACGGACATCTAAGTTATTCCACAAAAAGACATACCTGTAAAAGCAAAGGACGTATTGGTTTTTGTGTAATCAAACTGTCGTTTTCGTGCATTAAATGAATTATGAAAAGCCAGCAGAGAAGAGTGGTATGCTTTGGACATGACAGCCTTGCATTGGAGCCTTTTGCAATATAAAGTACGCTGTAGATCTATGGTCAACTTTTATGGTCGTTAGAAAAGCATTACCGACGTGACGACATGAACTACTACAATATGATGAGGCCCCAAAAATCATTTTAATATAATGTACTCAACCATTGTAGAGAACACATGTAAAATACGAATTATATAATTCAAAAAAAATGTTCACGTTCTTCATGTGACAAACAACCACTATATCCTACATAGCTGTAATAAACTTATTTTTTCTGTAACACATTTAACATATCGTTCTCCTAAAACACTTTTAGTATACAGATCTTCTCTAACACGTTTAAAACGCACTTTTTGTACAGATTGTACACTAATTACACTCATGCATCTAATAGCATTACGTAAAAATTACGTACTGATACATTTAACAACATCACACACAAATTAAGCACTGATACACATTTAATAACATCACATAGAAATTAAGCACTGACATACTATAATAACATCACACATAAATTAAGCACTGACATACTATAATAACATCACACATAAATTAAGCACTGATATATATATAATAACATCACACACAAATTAAACACTGATATATTATAGTAACATCACACACAAATTAAGCACTGATACACATTTAATAACATCACACACAAATTAAGCACTGATATATTATACTGTATATCAGTGCTTAATTTGTGTGCGATGTTACTTAATAACATCACACACAAATTAAGCACTGATATACATTTAATAACATCACACACAAATTAAGCACTGATATACATTTAATAACATCACACAGAAATGCCATATTGATACATTTATTATTTTGGTTAATTTCTGAACACAATAAATTGTGTCCATCCCCCCACCCTCTCCCCTGGTAGCTCAACGATAAGCTTGAGGTCGTAAAACGTTAAGTGAAAAAACATTTTTAATTAGTCACTCCACACAAAGTATCATACCAATTTGATGTTTGTAAAAAACGACGTTAATCAAACTTTCATTACGTCTGTCACAAGGTTTTGTCATGTAAAAAACGACGTTAATCAAACTTTCATTACGTCTGTCACAAGGTTTTGTCATGCCCCTGGGCTCAGGATGCTTTTTTATATCGATTATCAACAGCATCCATTGTTTCTAATGTTTGTTTTACACATGTATCACGATAAGTGAGGCTTCTTTAGTTGATAATGTTTCTCACGAGGCTTTTGTAAACTTGGAGGGATATTCAGGTTTTTACAAAACATTTCTAGTAATTCAAGCACAATATTCACATTTTTAATACAATTTGAAACAGTAAACTTTTTGGATGAACGCATTACTGTTCGTCCACAAGAAAAATAACATTAACAGATAAGTGTCTCTAGAGGATAGAAACGGGTAACATAACAACTGTTCTACTAGATGTTATGCCCCCTCCCCCCAGTGGATCAGCAGTATGTCTGTGGACTTACAACGCTAGAAACCGGGTTTCAATACCCGTGGTGGGCACAGCACAGATAGCACATTCGGTAGCTTTGTGCTTAATTACAAGCAAACAAATTACTATATATATATATATATATATATGATCCTTTATAAGTAACCTAAGCAACAAAAAAGCTGCAGTACTACATATATAACCCATTTTGAGTTACCACTTGACAAAATGACAGCTGTTTAACAACATATATATATAATCCATTTTTAGTTATCACACACCAACATTTTGAGTTCGTTTATCTTGATAATAAGAAGACCAAACAGTCATGTTTCCCCATGAATCTCTTGGTATTGTTACTTGTTACATAGATGATGGTCTTAGCATCTATAAACGATGTTTATTATTGGAGTAACATGGGTTCCATCGTTTATATCTAGAAACAGTTTTTATTACCGCTAACAGAAGCATTCCTTACTCTACCAGCAGAAGTTCAACGTTTTTCTGAATTCTGAACAAAGAATTGACTCTGACTCTCTCAGCCAACGAGAGAAATGTTGAATCTTTGAATGTAGCTCTCGGCAAACACCGTTCCATGTGACAATCAAAAGCATCAGTTTCTATTAGGTTCTATGACTAGAAATAATCGGTTTCTATGCCCTAGAGGTAACCATGAGAATCACTACTTCTGGAGAGTTATATGTGACAGAAATCATCAAGGATATCCTGTTTCTGCTGAGGTCTAAACACTATAAACAAAAAAGTAAATTGCTACTTCTGGAGAGTTCTATATGTCCGAAATCATCAAGAATACCCTGTTTCTGCTGGATTCTATGCACTAGAGATAATGAAGAGAATTGATACTACTGGAGAGTTCTATGTGACAGAAATAATCGAGGATATTCTGTTTCTGCTGGGTTCCATGCACTTGAGACACCCAAGAGAATAACTACTTCTGGAGGGTTCTATGTGTCAGAAGTCATCAAGGATACCATGTTTCTGCCCGGTTTTATGCACTAGAGACAACCAAGAGAATCATTACTTCTGAGCAGTTCTATATATCGGTATAAACTCTCTACACAAATCTAGAATCAGTATATCAATCCATTCCTTCTCTACAGATCTCCAACTACTGACACCGAAATCATTACATCACTCCATCCCTTCTCTACAGATCTCCAACTACTGACACCAGAATCAGTTCATCAACCCATTCCTTCTTTACAGATCTCCAGCTACTGACACCAGAATCATTACATCACTCCATCCCTTCTCTACAGATCTCTAGTTACTGAC